GGAGCTGTGTTTCACTGCGCCTGGGACCAGCCTGTGATCAGTCTTCCGGGAGGAGCTGTCCTCCGTCAGCACTCACTCGCCGCTTCTGCACCCGCTCCTGCTCTCCCCGCCCTCGTGGGTCAGTGGCCAACGACCCACAAGCCGAGGGGGAGCCTCCCGCAGCTAGCCCGAGCCTCCTGCAGCTTGGCACAGAACCCGCCCGCAGCCGCCTGCAGAGCCCGCCTGCACCCACCACAGCCGTGGAGAGAGAGACCCGCCGCCCGGCAGTGGGTGAATAGATGAATATGTAGGTGGGTGGATAGATGCGATGGTGAGTAGATGGATGGATGGATGGATGGATGATGGAAAGAGGTGGATAGATAGGTGGATAGATAGGTGGATAGATAGGTAGGTGGGTGGCTAGATGGGGTGGTGGATGGATGGATGGATGATGGATGGATGGTGAGTGGGTGGGTGGATAGAAAGATAGGTGGGTGGTTAGTAGGATGGATACATGGAAAGTTTGGTTGGTAGATGGATGGGTAAAAAAATAAGGTTTTGGAGAAAGAAAAATGAGGTGCTGATGAAACAACAGAAAAATGATGAGCCATTTCTTACCTGTCTAGTCAGTGATGGGCCGGTTCTTACCTGTCTAGTCAGTGATGGGCCGGTTCTTACCTGTCTAGTCAGTGATGGGCCGGTTCTTACCTGTCTAGTCAGTGATGGGCCGGTTCTTACCTGTCTAGTCAGTGATGGGCTGGTTCTTACCTGTCTAGTCAGTGAGCCAACAGGCAGGTCTGTGCTTTGATCCAACAAATTGTCAGGCTGCTGATACAACAGAAAATTAAAGACAGGGATAGGGAGACATGATTGTTTAGGGAAACCAGTGAGAAGAAAAGCTTTTTAAATGTTTCTTCTCCTAAGCGTGATTGGCTAGAGGGTGAGTGACTGGGAAGGAACAGGAAGGAATTTCTCCAGTAATGAGATTGTTTTGTCATGACAGAGCAACCCTGTAACAGAAGCAGCAACGCTCAGCAGTAACACAGGTGTACGCATTTGTCAAAAAAAACTCAAAATCTGTACAAATAGGAGTGCTTTGTTAAAGTATGCCTAGTAACGGTGATTAGACTTAAAAAGCAGGATAGAGAGAAGGCTTAAATTTTGGACAACAGGGGCTGGAGAGATGGCTCAGTGGTTAAGAGCTCTGAGTGCTCTTGCAGAGGACCAGGTTTCAATTCCCAGCACTCACATGGCAGCTAACAACTGTCCATAACTCCAGTTCCATGGGTCCTGAAAGTCTCTTCTGTT